TCTTAGAAATATGAAAAATAGCTCATTTTACAGACTATAAGTCTATTTTCAGAAAAACAAAGGCACACCAAGCATGTGGTGGGACTTTATAAAAGTGTATGTTTTTGCCCTGAGTTAGCCTCTGTTTTCTTTACAGGCAGGTTTCTTTACAGAGAGAAAAAAAGTATAATTTTGAGCATTCAGAAGGCAACCAGACATGTCCCTGGATGACATTAAGATGAAATCCAATGACTTGCTGGAGAGGGAAGATCTGGACAGCGGAGGCTTCGGGAAGGTGTCTTTGTGTTTCCACAGAACCCATGGACTCGTGATACTGAAAAAGGTCTACACGGGGCCCAAGTGCACTGAGTGAGTTGGGAGCAGAGGCGGGTGGGCCCCGCTCCAAGCTGGCCAGGGAAGGTGGCTATTGTGCAGGTGCAGGTCAGTGTGGGCGTGAGAGCTGCCAGGCGTTAGAATGTGACAGACGCTGGTGCGATGTCGGGTGGGGATGACACCAGTTGTCATCAGTGATGGGGATTCCGAGGCTGGGTATGGCCAATAAGTAATGGAAGAGAAATGAAGGGGAAGAAAATTGAGAAAAACAAAAAGATAAAGGTGGTGAGGGAGGCAGTGAGAAGAAAACAGGAAGTATCAGTGAAGATAGATTAATTCACTTCACGTTTTTGGTGAGGACCAGCCCTAAGTATGAAAAAAAAAGAAAAGGCAGTTCATTCCTGAAAGGTTGCAAGAACCCCTGTCTAAAGCCATCAGTGGAGTGAGTGTACCGCTCTCCCTCCTTGTCAGAGCGGTCAGGAGAGAGGCTGTGTGTTTTGCTGTACTGTCCAGCACGATCTTTTTTTTCTTTGAGAGAGAGTTTCACTCTGCTGCGCAGGCTGCAGTGCAGTGGTGTGATCGCGCCTCACCGGAACCTCCAGCTCCTGCAGCACAATCTTTTTTTCAGGTTACATTGCTGCTGTCACATCCTTTTCATTCATTTGTTCATCCATCCATCCATTCATTCATTGGTTTTACGTTTCTTGAGCGTGCAATGCTAGTTACCGGGCAGGAGGGCTATAAAGGTGAATGAGAAACTGCTCTGCCTTCCAAGGCTCATGGTCAGTGCCCGGAAGAGATCAGAACACACCCAGGAGTGTGACTAACGCACATGCGACGTGATGCACGGGCGGTACGGGCAGGGCTCTGGGGCACTGGCTCTGCTCGTCTCAGCACGGCTGCTTTCCCTCCCACAGGTACAACGAGTCCCTCCTCGAGGAGGGGAAGATGATGAACAGATTGAGGCACAGCCGGGTGGTGAAGCTCCTGGGCGTCATCATAGAAGAGGGGAACTACTCCCTGGTCATGGAGTACATGGAGAAGGGCAACCTGATGCGCGTGCTGAAAGCGGAGGTACGGGGTCCCCACCGCACGCACACTCCTGTGCCCAGCACGCGGCCTGGCTGTCTGTCAGGGCTGCCACGTGCTGTTCGTTTGTGCCTCGTCGGTATAAATAATCCCTTTGTGGATTGCTTAGTAGTTGGATTTTCTGAAGTCGGTCCCTCATTAAATCTTCTTTGCCTTTCGCTGTCCTGGGGGTGGTCTCCGTCCTCTCAGTCCTGCTGACAGTCCTCTGTGTCATGCACTCTGTGTCTTAGCACTGTGGCTGGCTGTCCACCGTACCTGTCAGCCACTCTGCAACCCGCAGTCCGGAGCTAGGCCCTGTCTTTGTGAAGCACGTGGTCCGATGTGGGGTATATGCTCGATGGATGCCAAACGTGGGTTGATTGATGAAAGCATCCACGCTATAAATGACTGTGACAAGTATGGACTGATTGATTAAGTTGTGTGCACTCTACACGAGTGTAAGAGAAGATGGAGTATTAGTGGTTATAATTTGATACCATTCAAGACATTTTTATTTGAGGTTGAATGTAGAACATTAGTGGCAACAACACTGGATAAGATTTAAATCAGGAAAATAAAAATTGTTTACCCAAACCAAAGAATTTTAAAACATCTTAAAAAGTTTATGAGCCTATTAAGATGAAGGCCTTGTGCTAGTTTCTCAGGAGTCAGGAGCCAGTAGTCTGGAGACGAGTGAAAGGCGGGTAGGTAAGTGAGCAGTGCGGCGTGACGGGGCGTCGATAGACGGACTTGGGGCGCTGTGGAGTGTGAGGAGAGGCGCCCACCCGCCGGGGTAGACGGGGAAAGGCTTCAAGTCTGAAGGACAAGTAGGTGTTTTCGAAGTAGAGAATTAGGGAATACGTGTTCCAGGCAGAGAGAATGGCGTGGAGAGTCTGCTAAACTTGGGGAACTGTGAAGCACTGGATTCCACCAGAGCGTAGATGGTATGTGAAGAGTGGTGGATGTGGCTGCCTTTATGGCAGATACTCCCCCTTTTCTCCCTTCTCCCCCACCCCATGGGTGCCAAGTGAACAGACATTTCTTGAAAATACCTTTGGGAAGGATAAGATTGATTCATTGATCGTAATAAACATGGGTTATGGTTTGATCCGATTTCTTTCCTCCCCAAACCAGCTAAGATCAGCTGTTCGAAGCAGGCGTTGTGATTGGGAGAGAAGCCACTCGGGACTGAGGCTTCCTGCAGGATTAGGCGGAGACCAGGTGCACCAGTTTGGTGTGAAACAGGAAGTCAGGAGGACCCGAAAGAGAGAAGCAGAAAGGGGGTGGGAGGGGGACCCTTTGCTTGCTCAGAATTTTTTCCTAAGTCCAAAGGTATGCCAAGGAAGAAGGGAAAAAATATCTTTTTCTACTTTCTGTGTGATGGTGATCAAGCTGTCAATGCTGTAGTTCAGGTACATTATGTCCTAAATATGGTGTGAGGGGTACACTTTGGAATCTAATGTTCATCATTAAAATTATTTTCCTGTTAACCAATAACCAACATACACATAGATTTTTAGGAAACATCCTGTTAATTTGATAAACTGGCTTTTCAGAGTTAAGCAAAACTAAAATTTAATCACTATACTAGAAACTGGAATTGTTTACGTTATATTAACATGGGTGTTCATATAACTAGAATATAATTATGAGTATGAGTAACCTAAGACTCTATAAAAACCTGAAATATCTGACACCAGGCCACCAAATTGATGTTAATTAACTTCAGCATAGTTTTAGCATCATGTTTATGTGATAGATTAATTTTTACATGGCTGTAATCAGTGTGAACCTATCCCTTCGTGTTGTTTTTTTCTCTTGTGTTATTTCACATGCACATTACCACGACATCGTTCCCATATTTAAAATAAACATACTATCACATCATATGAGTATATAACAGAAAATGTTTGTGTGTATATTTATTCATCCATTCATTCAACAAACATTCCAGGTACCAACCCAGGTACTAAGGATATAATCTTAAGTAATAAAAATAATACATGTTTTTGTTCTCAAGGAGCTTAATTTTAGAGCATTTTTATATTTTGCCAGATTGGCATGGAATTTTTGTTTTTACACTGACAAATACAACATGAATGCCCTTAGCCCTGGAATGAACTCTCTCTTGCTTTATGATCATGGCAGTGCTGCAGAGCGTCTGCGAGAAGGAAACCTGGTAACCATGTTCTCAGGTCCAGGTCCCACCCCTTGTCCTGGTCTGGGACAGATTTTTGTTCCTATGAAACAGTTGCTTCGGCTTATTTGATTACCTTTCCATTTCATAAACTTAATATCACTTATTTTAGACCAGTATCCCACTTTCTGTAAAAGGAAGGATTATTGCGGAGACCATCGAAGGAATGTGCTACTTACATGGAGAAGGTGTGATACACAAGGACCTGAAGCCTGAAAACATCCTTGTTGATGGTGACTTCCACATTAAGGTAAACCATAATCTGTAGACTTCTAGAAGGTTGGCTAATTTTTAGTTTTACTTTTCCACTGTAAATCCATTCTCGTAAATGGTAGATGGTAAAGGAAGACCTGGTTCAGCTTATATCTAGTGTTGGTGGTGCCAGAAGGCTCTACCAAGGTTCGAAAGGAAAGATGCAGGATTAATGGAGTCAGGAGATAGCTGTCAGGATGTAACTCATATGTTATGGGAGGAATGGAGCTGAATGGGGTAGACGAGAAAACCTCTTTCCTGGAGTGTGTTTTCCTCCTTTGTTAGACAGGCGATGAAAACATTCAAGACTTAACCTTGTTCGCCTAGGAATGGGCCATTTTCCTCATCATTTTCCCTAGGATATCTGTGTGAGTGAGACTCTCCTCCTCTGGAAATGCAGGGTAATGTGAAGGTGTGAGCAGAAAATCCTTAGATTTCAGATATGGCCTGAGAGACAGATCAGTAGTGAGTTGGCCATTTTGGCATCAAAAACCTCTGTTTTGAAATTTGGCTGACTTATAATTTTTATTTGTTTACTTCCATCTGCATTAAAAAAATCAGTTTCTTTTTGATAACTCTCTTTCCATTATAGTAAAGGGAACAAGGGAGAGGGATGTGTCTTTTGTCCATGCAAGGGCAAGGTTTAACTAGGGGAGCATCTCGTCTAGTTGGCTTTGGCAGCAGGAATCCAAGCACGGGAATCTGAAAAGGGAAGTGACATTATGGGGGGAACCCAGGGCCTGCTTGCACAGGTGTCCCTCTCTACCAGAAGATTCTGCTTCTAGCACTTTGTCCTCATCTGGGACAGATGTTTATTCCTATGTCTCTAAAGAAGGATCTTTCTTTAAATCAGTACCTTATGTCTTATATTCTAGGTTAGAATCTGTTAATTTCAGATAATCATGTGCCAAAATTCATCCCCAGATGTTTGCTTGGATTCTCAGAGGCAGACGTGGAACTGCCAGCTTTGGTTTCCTCTTAACTGTATAGTTCTGCATTTTGTCCTGCCACCTCCGTCTCTGTTCTGTATCTGACCTTGGTATTTCTCTCTCTGCTCTTTTGTCTGTTTTTCCCTTCTTCCCATTCCATTTTCTCTTAGGTTCAGGCTACCAACCTAAAACAAGCAGCACCGCAGTCCGTATCCTCTGTGTTTCTTTGGGATCCTTGGACACTCGCATCCATGGGCCTCTGGACACCATTGGGGGAAGTAGAAGGTGTAGTACCTGGTCACCATCTGCTATGTAAATCTGCAGAGAAGAAAATACCGTTTTTCCCTCTAGTCCCAGAAATAGTTGAAAAACATGCACAGATTTGAATAAAAATGCTTTATTGTTGTTCATGTCAGAAATATCATCTACTTTTTTTTATTGCATAAGAATTTTTTTTTATTGCATAAGAATTGAGATACCAGAACTTCACGTGAATGTTTCTTGGGCGAGATTTTCCAGATGGTTATGAGCCTATTCGGAAGTAGCTGTTATAAACCTGCTCAGTGCCACCATTTCTGGAAAATTCACTGTACCTCACATACATTGGATAAGCCCAAAAGTTAAAGCCAAATCTACTTTGCTTGTAGCCTTCACAGAACAATCGCATTGCATTGGTCCCTTTTGCAGATAGCGGATCTTGGCGTTGCTTCCTTTAAGACTTGGAGCAAACTAACTAAAGAGGAGCACAATGAGCAGAGGAAAGTGAACAGCACCTCCAAGAAAAATGGCGGCACCCTCTACTACATGGCCCCGGAGCACCTGAATGACATCAACGCAAAGCCCACAGAGAAGTCAGACGTGTACAGCTTTGCCATAGTACTTTGGGCAATATTTGCAAATAAGGAGCCATATGAAAGTAAGGCATTTGTAGAGAAGTGGGATTGTAATATTAATCATCATTAGTACATGAGACAGTGGGCTTCAATGAAATTAGTTAAGATTTATAATTATTTGTTCATTTAGTGTCAGTCTTACCTACTAGACTATGAGTTCCATGAGGGCTAGGACCACATCTGAGTTAGTCACTGCTATCTCTTCAGCATCTACACACGTAGTACCTAGAACATAACAGGTGCTCAGCAGATTTTTGTTGAATGAATGAGCAATCCCAGTTTAGGAATCAGAGATTACAAAATGAATAGAAGCCTCTGGAGTGTACCTAAGCTTGGGAGATGTTGTAAAATTCCAGGGTTCTTCCTGGACAGGAAGGTTTGACTGTTTCTGCTTGTGATGACTTAGCCTTTCACACTGCAAGGCATACACTTTATGCTTTCACTCGTTCACTTTACTCCTTCATTCAAAAACTATTTTTTCCCAGTCCTGACTGTGGGTAATTTAGTCGACACTGGAATCATAAAGATGAGTAAGTTGTGGCTTGTGCGGGTAGAACAGAGACATTCTTCAGCTCATTTAGTGCATAAGCTGATAGACATTTTCCTACACATTCTTCCTGGGCGATTCTCAACTCCTGTGGCTTAATGATCATCTCTTTGCAGATGCCTCTTACATCTCTGTCTTTGGCCCTGGCCTGGATATCCACTTGCCCCATGGTCAGATCCATCCCTCACACCAGAAGATCCTCCAAAGCAGCATCCCCCAAACGAGCGCGTGTTCTCAACACTCCCCCTGCAGCCCGGCCCACTTCACTGCTCTGCGTGTGCTCAGAGAGCTGCATCTCCATCCAGCTCCTGAGTTGCCCAGCCAGAAACCTTAGCGTCTTCCAGACCCGACCTCGCCCTTCCTCTTCCACATTCAATCAGACTTCAAAACCTATGAATCTGAGATACCTGTATGACTCAAGATGCATCTCCAGCCTGTCCAATCTTCTCTCTGCCCCCACCGGCCTCTGATTAGTTCACACCCTCCTTGTTTCTGTTGGCTCCTTCTGAGGTCCACTGTCCCTGTGGCAGCCAAAGTGGTTGTCCTAAAAGGCAAATGTGACCCTCTCACTCACCCTATTGAAAATCCTTCCCTGTGACCTTCTGGATACAGTTCAGATTCCCCAGTGTGGAAGACAAGGCCCTTCAGGACCTTCCTTTGCTTCTCTCTCTTGCCTTATCCCTTGCCCCTCCTCGCTGGTCAGCGTCCCGCTGCCCCGAGTGAGTAATTTCTGGGAGGCATCATGATTTCAGTAACGGCCAGTCTAATCCATGTCCCTTGCCTGGAATCCTCCTCGAGAGTCCTCCTTCCCCATTCTGGATCTGACCATGAGGCAAGTGGATGTCCAGGCCAGGGCCAGGGCAGAGATGTAAGAGCATCTGCAAAGAGATGTTCTGTACCTGCTGATTTTTCTGGACGCAACAAAGCCTCCACAGACCTTCCATTCTAGTCATGGTTGTGCTACCAGAACCTCTTGCCCTTCCTTCTTGAATAGCAATTATCACTCTCATTAAACTGAGCTCTATCAAGGCAAGGGCTATACTGTATTTGCATTTGTATTAAAATCTAGGGCATGCCATTAGCTTTACCCACATAATCCCTTTGTTCTGTCAATCAGCAGGCAGCTTTGTTATTTTGTCTTTCATCTGCAGATATCGAAATGCTGTTTGATCATCTCAGTAATGGAAGATGTCAGCTCCTTGTCACAAAGCCATTCTGCCCCAGAGTGAGGCAGCTATACCACAAGCACAGCCTAGGCAGAGATAAATCAGCAGTATCATCCAAGTTCTGTCACCTTCCTGCCTGAGAGAGGGGCTGGACCTAAAAGAAAGTCTCAACCTAGACTCCTCTTTGCTTTCTAGATGCTATCTGTGAGCAGCAGCTGATAATATGCATCAAGTCTGGGAACAGGCCAGACGAGGATGAGATCAAGAACTGCCCAAAGGAGGTCATCGACCTCATGCAGCTCTGCTGGCAAGCTGATCCGGAAGCTCGGCCAACATTTCCTGGTAAGAGCATCTTTGTGACTCTGTAGGATGCATCCCATGTGGTGATTTTCCTGGTAAGATGTCAGGAACTTGGTTTGTGCCTTCAGAAAGCTGAGTTCCACTTTATTTGTAGTTTCCAACTGATTTTCTAACCGATTTTCTAGATTTCACACATTTTGTTCAATGAAAAGCTGCCGTCTCTCTCAAAAGCATGAAGGCATATAAGGCCTCTTTTTTTTTGTAGTTTACTTTTAAAATTGTGTCAAAATATACATAACATTAAATGTAACATCGTAACCATTTTTAAGTGTGCCGGTCGGTGGCATCAGGTCCATTCGCACTGTCGTGCAGCCGTCACCGCCGCCCATCTCCAGGGCTTTTCCGTCTTCCCAAACTGAGACTGTGTCCCCTTAACCAATAACTCCCATCCTCCCTCCTCCAGCCCCGAGCACCCCCCGTTCTACTCTTTCTGTCTCTATGAATTTGACTACTCCGGGTACCTCATATGAGTGGAATCACTCAGTATTTGTCCTGTGTCTGGCTTGTTTCTCTTAACAGAATGTCCTCACGGATCA